GAGGCCGAGGCCGCGGCCGGGGGCCCGGCAGGGGCCCGCACGGGGCAGCCACCCCAGCCCGCGCCGCCCTCACAGCAGCCTCTGCGGCCGCCCGCCTCCCCCGATGAGCCGTCGGTGGCCGCGTCGTCGGGAGGCAGCAGCCGCTTGCCACTCAGTGCCTCACTCGCCTTCTCCGACCTCACCGAGGAGATGCTGGACTGCGGGCCCGGCGGTTTCGTGCGAGAGCTGGAGGAGCTGCGCTCGGAGAACGACTATCTCAAGGTTGGGGCGTTGATGGGGAGGAGGGAAGCCCCGGGAGGCGTCGGGTTGTCACGGCCCCACGGGGTTGAGGCACCAGCCGGCCCGCTGCCCCATTGAACAAGCTGGATAAAGGGGACTAAATCCTCAGGGACCACCCCGAAGTCTATCCAAGGCTCCCTCACATCCCGCCTCCCTTTTTATTTGGGAAACCTTCTGAGGTGGAAGCTGGATGAGGATACTGGCCAAAGGGCCCTGATTTGGAAAGGGGAGGGGGGCTTGAGAAAACTGCTTTGCAAGACGTGTGGATGCGTTACTTGGGATGGCCGGGTGGATAGTCTGTGAGAGGCTGGACCTCTGCCTTCAGCTGCTCAGAACCCCCACTCCCAAGCCAGAGGCGAGGCCTTCGATGGCTCTTCTTGCTGGGGTAGGCGGTGTGCATGCTGCCAGGGAGACCTGTGGCCAGCCCGTGCCAACGAAACGCAGGAACACCATCCCGAGTCTTTACTCAGGGCTCTCCTGGGCGCAGGCCTGTCTCCGCCTGCCTTTCAGGGCGGGTCCTGTTTGAAAGCATGACATCTGGGAACATCCCTTTGGCTGGAGTCCACTTCCGCCCAGTCTAACGGTTCTACAGCCTGGGAGGATGATGTCGTGGGAGAACCAGCTCAGAGGCAGCTTCCTAAATCCCAGGATATTGTCTTCTACGCTCTCTGTGGCAAGCCCTGTATACACAGTGGCTCCACTGGCCCCTCATGGCGAGGCCCATGTCCTTCCCATGTTCCCAGTGAGAGGAAGGAAGCTCTCTATCCGAAAGGGGCATTCTCTCTGGGCATGTGGGGACCTGAGAGCTTCCCCAGGAGAGTCTTTTGCCTTCAGCCTTTCAGTAGACATGAGCACCTACTGGGTGCAAGCCAGGCTCCGTCTGCCCACTACCTGGCACTGTGGCAGATTTAGGGACAACCCAGCCCTTGTGTGTTGACCTTGGCCAGGCACACTGGAAGCTTCATGGGCTCTGATCTACTGCCACTGACTGGGCACGGTTCTGGAAGAGGCTGAAATGTTACCTACTTTTGTCATTTGATGTCTTCGCAGAACACCCAGCATGCCCCTGGCTGAGAGCTGCACAGTTAACGGCACTCTGCTGATTTACATCTGCCCAGCAACACTTAGCTTTGCATTGTGGCTCTTTCGGCCAAATTCATTTCTCTCTCAGAGTTTTGGGGTCTTGCTCAACTGTGCCTCCCCCTCCCCATTTCCCCAGGATCTATTATCCAGCATGTGTTTAGTAAATGCTTATAGAATAGAAGGACAGAGCCTGTCTAAATCAGGATAATCCACCCCTGGGTAAGTCTTCCCGAAGGCCTCATTTAGTGTTGACAAGCAGGGGTTCAGTCAGCTCCTTTAGTCTTCAGAAGCCAGTGGCAAGAAGAAAAGTAGAGGGTGGGTAGGAGGAAGGAGACAAGCCAGAAGGAGGCTTGTTCCTGCCCTCCTGGTATTCTGAGCTACTTCTTGTAGCCCCTGCCTGAGCTACTCTGAACTCATACCCTGAGGTCCTCGCTCCCACTTCCTGCCCACACAATTCACCCAGAGTAGAGAAGATGGACCATAGAGCTTTGCTTCAGGGTCTCCTCATGCACCCACCCCCATGGATTCTTGTCTATCCCAAGAAGTCACCAAGTAGAACTCTGGAGACCATCTGAGCCATAAGATAGAACAGAGTCCCAGAAGGCTGGGGATTGAGCCCAAGGTCTCAGAGGCGCCAAGGCCTGGCTGGGGACCTCCAACTGCCTGGGCCAAGGCTGAGCCTCAGTTTCCACCATTCATTCACTTTCAGGCTTTGTACGTAGGCCTCAGGCTACTGTTGGATTTGGGGTCTGTAGCTTCCTGCCTATGTGATCTTGGTCAAGTTACTCCACGTCTGTGGACCTCAGTTTTCTGTGTTGTAAAAAGGCACATCACATATCTTCCAACCTTAAGGATTAAATGAGAAAATGTGTGCAAACACCACTAGAGTGTCTGGCATGGAGTGAGCCTCAGATGAGAGTAGCTGTCATCACTGCTATTCTCAAGTGGTATGTGACACGTTTCCATGGATGCCTTTCATGTTCTCTTGTGGATTCTGTGGGGGCAGAATAGATCGTCCTCCCCATATGAAGCAGGCTGGGCTCTTTCTCCTGGGTATCTCCCTCATTCATTCATTCATTCATTCACCAACTATTTGTTTAGTGCCTACTGTGTACCAGGCACTAGTGCAGCTCTGGGGATGCAGCCATGGACAAGTATGACTGTCTGTTTTCATGGAGTTTCAGGTCTAGTAGGGGAGACTGGGATTAAACAGTCATACAGTAAACCACAATATGGATCGTAAAGGGCAGAGAAGGATACAGTGTCCCAAGAGCACATGGGGGGCTGGGGCTGCTCAGAGAGGCCAAGGGCTGAAGGATGAGATGGAGCCAGCTGAATATGAAGCTGGAGTAAGAACATTCCAGGCTGTAAGAAGTAGGAAAAAGCCTGTTGATTTCGAGGAACAGTGCTCAGGCTAGAGAGAGGGAGGCAATTGGATGAGAGAGGTGAGCAGGGCCAGAGTGTGCATTTCTCTCTGTGTACATTTGGGTTGGTCTCTGAACTTCTCCGTTTTAATCCAGCTGCAAACCTCATAGAGACGAGGTGAAATCTAGAGATTGGATAGGGCCCGTAAGTGTAGGGGCTGTTATAGGAGGTGTTGGTTTGTTCATTCTACAGATGGTAAACCATGGCCAGAGTGGGTAAGGACTTGCTCCAGGTCCCAGAGCTAGTTCCTCAGTCAGCCAGGGCTTGGAGTAAGAGTCGTTACACTCTTGACGTGTTTCCTGCCCCTCTGGGCCACTTTGCTTCTAAGATTCAAGACCTGAGTTACCAGGAGAAGGACTCCAGATCCCCAGTGTGTCCCCTGCAGGTCTTATGCTGCCTGGTTTGAGTCCTATAGAGTCTGATGGGGCCCTGCTAGGCTCATCCCCAGCTGGTGAGGGGCACTGGGAATTGTCAACTGGAGAGAGTCTCTTGGGTGATGGCAGATCTCCTGTAGCATGAAGTCTGCTCTGGGGCCCAAGTAAGGAAAGTGTAAATGGGCAGCTGTTTCCCAATGAGACAAGAGAAGGAGTTGCTTCAGAGAAGGGAGCGAGCTTGCTGTCACTTGAGTTATTCAAAGAGAAGCTGGATGACTTCACATGTTTAGATAGACATAGGGTTTGTAGAAAGCAGCTTGTAAACTGTACAGAATGTTGGTGGTTGTGATTACTCGAGGAGGATTCAGGGGGAGATTCATGTGGTGGCTACAGTTGAGCTGCCTGTCCTAGGGTCCCTTCCAGCCAAGGAAGTCTGAAGGTTATTAACTTTTGAGGTTCCAGGATTCTAAGATGCAGCTTTAGCTGCAGAGCAGACAAATTGATTATGTTTGACCTGCAAAGCCTTGGTAGTCTGAGGTCTTCCAGCTCTCCATCACTACTAACCGTCTCCCATGTACCATGTGATGAGGACATGCTGGGAACCCATTGGGTGTGGGTGGAAGAATCTGAAAGTTGGAGCCTAAAGACCTGGCTTTGAGGCCTGACTGCCATTTACTGTGTGGTTATGAGCAAGTCACTTGGCTTCTCTGAGCTACTTTTTTTTTTCTTCTCCCCATCTTTATAATGAAGATAGAACCTGCCTGAGCAACTTCATAGGATTGTTGTCAGGAATTAGGGAGGTATGAATAGACAAGAAAACATTTGCAAGCAGTGAAATCCTTCATCTCTTGGAGAATTGTAAGTATTGTTAGCCAGTGAGCTGACAGGATATCTATGTCTTCATTCTTGGGGGAACTGGGAGTGTGAGTCCCCTTAGCTGTAGGGTGTTAATAAATTGGGAGGTGCTCCAGGGAGAGCAAAAAGTTGTGATCACATGCTGTGTGGGCTCCATGAAGCAAGGCCTACCCACCTCTTTGGAGGTTCTAGATGCAAGTGTTTGAAGTGCAGCTAATCTACATGTCAGCCCAGAAGGGCCCAGAAGAAGCCCTCCAGTTGCCATTGTACAGTTGAGTAAATGGAGGCTCCAAGTCACACAGCCAGGATTCCAAACCCGGTTGGTTTAACTCTAGGTCCTGTTCTTTCTGCAGTATGACTGGAGCAGTGAGCTTTTGGTTGCTAACAGTGTGTCTAATCTTGGACATTGGTTGGTGAGAGGAATCCTGTTGTGTTCTAGGCTAAGATCGGCCGGGAACAAGTGAAGAATAACATATAATGGGGCCTGGGATCTGGAGCCTGCAGGTTGGGATGGGGGACATGCGTGTATGGATATATGTGAATATGTACCTACACCAATGAAAACTGTGATTGGAACAGGGGTCTGAGATCCTGGAGGAAGTGTTAGGGGTTTCGATTTAGCCTTAAGGGTCAGATAATGGTTAGGCTGGAGCCCACAGTGCTGGAATGTTAGAGCTGACCTGGGGACCTCCAGACCACTAATCCCTGGAATTTTATGGCTCTTGTCTCACAAATGCTATCAGCTATTGATCACTTCTAATGTGCCACCTCTGGGTTAAGTATAGCAATCTTGTATAGGGTGTTCTGATATCAGACCCATTGGATGGATGAGGAAACCAAAAGGCTCTGTAATGTGCCCAAGATCGCACAGCTGATATACTTGAGACCCTCATTAGACAACCCTGCAGAACTCCCCGTTCCCCATTGCTCTTCCACTCTCTGAGTTTCAGAGTGGAGTTCTTGCCTGGCTTGCCAGTTATAAACTGTATGACACTGGCTGAAACACTCAGCCTTTCTGAGCCTCTGTTCTTTCTTCTGTAAAATAAGGGCTAAGTATGCCTGCCCCAGGGTCATAGGGACCCTTTTCAGTGTGATGATATAGATCAAGTACACAGTAAATGTCAGTGCCTGTCCCAGTCATCACCTTTCACTTACCTGCTTCTTCAGGCATTCATTCATTAATTCATTCAATACATATTTTCTGAGTGTCTCTTGGGTACCAGTCTCTGTGCCAGATGTATGGCA